TCTCTGTATTAAACTTTTTTGAGGAAGGGCCAAGCTCAGAGACTCCTGACACTTCTGTGGGGAGTGACTGTGACCATTATCTCATTGTTTAGTGGGCGAACCCAAGTGACTCATCCAAGATGATCAGATCACCACGCTGTGGGGGCTGGACAGAATTAAAACCTGTGTGATGGCTCCAGGGCCACTGACCCCTCCTCTCGCCTCCTCAAGTGCACCGCTCTTAGGAGGGGACCTGGTGGGCCCTGCTGGGACTGTTTGGATTGACCCCACTGGCCAGATGTCTGGGCCTCTGAAGCAGGCGCTGTGGGGGCTGGACAGAATTAAAACCTGTGTGATGATGGCTCCAGGGCCACTGACCACCCCTCTTTCCTCCTCAAGGGCACCGCTCTTAGGAGGGGACCTGGCGGGCCCTGCTGGGACTGTTTGGATTGACCCCAGTTGCCAGATGTCTGGCCTCTGAAGCAGGGACCCCGAATTTGTAACAATGAAATTGGGGGTCACCACCACATGAGGAACTGTATTAACGGGTCGCAGCATTAGGAAGGTTGAGAACCACATCCCTAGAGGGTGAAGGGATAAAACTAAACAGTCCCATTAGACTCCTCTTGTGAGGGGAGGTGGAACTTTTTTGTTTTTTAAAGATAAATGAAAAGAACCTCTGGTGGTAGTTTTTATGGAACCACTTGGCTTAGGTGTGAACCCTGATTTGGCCAATTATCAGCTGTGTGACCTTGAGCAAGTCCTGTTGCCCCTCTGAGCCTCAGTTTTCTTATCTGTAAAGCAGAGATAATCATCCCCCTCTGCTAGGGTCACCAAGAGGATAGACGGAGATAAGCATGTCAAGAATCTAGCACCATACCGGTTCTGTGCACTTGAATGGTCGCTGTTGGCATTATTATTATTCGGGCCTTCTTAGCTCTAACGTTATAAGATTTATGACTGCATGTGCTGTGTGCCTGTACTTTCTGGAGGTACGCTATTAGATATTTATAGAGTTAAACAACTATTCTTTGGGCTGTTTTATTGCAACAGAGTGTATTAAAATTGAAGTAACCATTCAACCTGCAGTGTTTATCTCCCCCCTCCCTCCCTTATCCGCTAAGCCCATTCATCCGGGTCACTCATCACTCTTACAGGTGACCCAGAGGTTGGGATCTTCTGCAGGTCTGGAACAGCTGCAGATTGCACGGACCATTTTCAGGCTGCAATGGTTCGCTGCGGAGCCAGCCATCTGGCTTATTCTCTGCCCCCCCACCCTCCTCTGTCTGCAAGAGGCTGAATTCTGCCCAGCAACTCAGGCCCAGATTAGGCCCAGAGTCCCCCAGTGGCTTTTGGTGTGTGTTTGTTTCTTTTAGGAAGTGAAGAATTTAGAGGGATAAAAGGGGGAAATGACTTTCCAGTGTTGTAACCTTTGTTGTAGTCTGGTTGCTTTTTAAAGGAGCATTGTTTGGGTGCAGGACCCACCCAGAGCTTCTGTGGGGCCTTCCCCTCCACCCACCGGGAGGAGGAGGAAGGGAACTGACCTTGAGCCTTAAGCATGCTCCAGGCATGGGGCCTAGTGGTGAAAGAGGCAGGCCAGGGACATGCTTTCACGAAGCAGGGTGAACACTGAACAGGTAAAGACAAAATTCGGATGGTTACAGTTCACCAGAACTGCTGAGAAGGAACTAACAGGTGATGGCATAGGGAGGAGGGGGGACCTGCCTAGGTAGGTGGTCCGGAAGGCCTCTCTGGGGAGGGGACTTCGGAGCCCAGGCTAAGGATGTCAAGGAGACGGTGTAGGTGACTCTCTGAAGTGCAGGTGAAAGAGTATTCAGAGGCGGGCACAGGAAGAGCAAAAGGTTGGAGTGGGAATGACCTCGGTGTGTTGGAGGAGGCTCCCAGCTGGCGCTCAGAGGAGGAGATGGCATGAGGTCAGGCAAGCAGGAACCAGCTCCTGAGGCTCCGCTAAGCCCGGGTCATCTGTGTGATTTTGGTTTCAAATACGTAACTTGCTTGAATTCCTTACAGCAACTCCATGAAGTAGGTGTTATTTGTCCATTTTATCCCTGTGGAAACTGAGGCTCTGAAACGTTACGTGACAAGCCCCTGAAACAGAAGGACATTATGGTGTGAACCGAAAGCCAGCGTGTCCATGTATTCACTTGACAAATGTTTATTTGAGCACCTGTCGTGTGCCAGGCCCCATGCTGATCACCAGGGGTGTCAGAGTGAGGAAGGCTTGCTGGCATCTTTGCCCGGAGGGTTCAGACCTTAGCTCAACCTGTGAAAAGGTCTTGTCTTCTCCAAACTTTCCATATTGCAGAATCAGTGATACATGAAGTCATTTTGAGGATCATAGGAGGTAAGCATGCAGAGTTTGGCATAATTGTGGCACATGGTAAATACTAGTTGTCATGAATGTCACCCCCAGGAAAATCTCTTTTGGAGAGATCCTGGCCAAGGAGGATAAACCAGCCACATAGGGAGTAGCTTGGTCCATAGCAAGAAGATCCCCCACTGCAGTTACAATTCTCCATGTTCATTAAGTTCATCAGTAAATAAATATGTCAACCAATGGTCATTGGCACCAACTCAACACCAAAAGGAATCCTCTGTTTGGGGCGCGGTGAAGAAGGAAACTTTATTCAGTGGAAAAGAGCTCAATTGCGATGCAGCACAGCTGTGAAAATAGCACGGTTGTGAGGCAGTCCTAGGACCAGGTGGGCCTGAGGCCAGGCCCCTATCTGCTCTGCTCTGTGCTGGTCTGCTCCACTGTGCTTTGGTCTGTTCTGGCCTGTGCTGGTTTCCTCAGCTCTGCTCCAGTGAGGTATCTTCAGTGCTTTAGCTCAGCCAGGGAAACCCACTCTTTTGTCTTCCGTGGAAAGGGAAAATATGCTCTCAGAGCCAGAGGGGGAGCTGGCTTATCGGGACAGAAGTCCCCACCCCTGGTCCCTGATTTGTCTGTTCTCTTGCAAATGAGGACTCCAAATCCTCGATGTTTGATTGGTCCAAAAGGCACTGTCCTGATTGGTCAGAATGGAGGCTCTCTGGTTGGCTGGAGCCACACATCTCCAATTGGATGGGGAAAGCCTCAATCCTTTGGGTTGAACTAAGATTCCATGAGCTCCTCGATAAGGGCTGGCTCAGATAGCAGAAACACAGTGTAGGCAGGCAGGCAGTTCAGTGCAGAGGCAGGTAGTTCAGAGCAGGCTTCTCTTTGAGGTGCAGTTTGCATGAGAGACCCCTGTATAGAAATGGCTGCTGGGCTCTGTTTTGTTGTATTATTATTTTTTTAGTTTGAGCCCAGTTAGCCACCAGGAGTCATCTTTAGTAGGTATCTTCTTTCTCAAGACTCATAATAAATCAAGTCAGTTCATCAGTCAATAACTACCCATGTATAGCACAGTGTTCCAGGCACTGCTCTCAGCCAGAGGTCTGCAAAGCACAACCCGCAGGCCAAATCCATGCCACCACCTATATTTACAAATAAAATTTTATTAGAACACAGTTGTGCCCATTTATTTATGACTTATGTAGCTTTCCTACTACAACGTCCAAGTTGAGTAGTTGTGACAAAGACCATGTGGTAAGGAGCATTTACTATCTGGCCCTTCACAAAAAAGGGCATGTTTTCTCAGCACTTTATACAGCATAGCTGTTTAACCCCCAGGATGGCTGTGCAGGTGGAAACTACCATCCCTATTTAACACGTGGGGAACAGGGCTCAGGGTGGTTAAGAACTTGTCAGGGTACCCGGGTGGCAGCGGACTCCGGGGGCTATGCTCTTAACCACCAGGTGATGTTACCCCCTCAAACAGATTGAATCAAAGTCACTGCTCCACTGACAGCCCACGGGATGCTCCACTGGCTTGAAAACCAGGAGACCTGGGTCCTAGGCCCAGCATGGCTCTGATTACCCAGTTAGTCACTGCTCCCGGAGGCTGCTTGCTCATGGTTTATAAGGCCTTGGACCCGGCCTGTCCCCAGGCCCCACCCTGGTGCCATGATTCATGCAGGTCTGCCCAGCCCTGAAGTTCTGAAGTCTGGCAGGCAGAGGAGGCTCCCAGCGCTCCTGGCTTCTCCCCTCTCAGACTAGGCTCTGGCTCCTGTGAATGAGGCCCCTCTACATTGTTCAGTACATGTATGGCTATGGGGAAGTAAATGTAATGAAGTCTGATCAAATTAGAAATTCACGTAGCAGTTTCCTCAGTCTCACCAGCCACGTTTTTATTGCTCAGTAGCCATGCATGGCTAATACTCACCATATCAGTGAGTGCAGATATAGAACATTTCTACCATTGCAGAGGGACAGTACAGCCTGACACACGATGCCCTGGCATGGCGCATAGCCATGCCAAACTGCTCAGCCCAAGGACAGAAATAGCCGCAGGGCTGGCTGAGAGATCCTGTTAAGTCTGAGTTAGATCATGTCATTCCTCTGCCATAGTCTCACCTTGGCCCATAGGCCGTGGTGGCCTTGTCCTACCTTAATACCTTCCTCCGTGCTAACTCTTCTCCAGTCCTGTTCCTCAAACTGGCTGGGCATGGTCCTGCCCCAGGGCCTGTGCACCTGCTCTTCCACCTAGCTATGCGGTTCTTTCTGTCCCTTTAAGCTTTGCTCAAACCCACCCTTGCCTTATTTTTCTCCACATATTACCTGAAATATATTGTTCTTGTTTGTTTACTGTCTGCCTCCTCTAGCTAGACTATAAGTCCCATAAAGGCCGGAGAATTTGTGAGTCATATTCAGGGCTGTGTTCTAGTCCTAGGACAGTGCATGGCACATAGCAGTTGCACAGCAAATGCTTTCGAGTATGTGAGTGAATGAACAGGTGGATGAGTGGGTGGCCTTTCCAGGGGTAGAGCAGCGATGAGTCTCTGGCCTCAGAGGTTTTTGAGCACTTGGTGGAGATGTCAGCAGCTTTAACTAGATTCCCTGGTCTGTGAGCCCCTGGTTAAGACCCTTTGGTGGCTGTGAGCACAAATTAATCAGGGGCCCCACCTCTGGTTAGCATTCAAAATAAAACCAATGTCAAACCATAGAATATAAGTATAAAGAAGTCCAGAAAGTTCTGAAAGTGATGTCCACATTCCTTTGGTAGTAATACCAAAACTGGGTGAGCATGTGCCATTTGATTATCTCTGAGCAGTAACAGCAAAGCATGTTCCTAATTGGCTTGGTTTGTGGAAAGCACCTAAAATAGGAAAAATGTAATATATGGTCAACATCTCAATATTTTTTGCCAGCTTTCCCCCCCCAACTTTAATTTTTTTTAATTATGAAAAATATCATCCATATAGAAAAGAATAATGTTAAAAGCTTAAGTTCCTTAAATATTTTTCTCACGTTTTGGTGCCTCTACTTTGGTCTGTCTGTGGATGATCCAATGTTGCCTGTATCCCCAGCACCAATTCATTCATTCATGATTCATTCATTCAGTGGTGAAGGAGAGAGATGGGGTCCCTAGCTTCTTAGAGATTGCAGAATAATCGGGGAGGGAGAAGATCAGACACAACACAAGGAAACAATTCGGGGGAGGGATGGAATAATGGCCGGGGTGTGTGCGATGGGCTGGCGCTTAGGGAGGCAGGAAGCCAGTCTGCAAACCTTCACCCTCTCAGAGTCGCAGGCCCAACTCAGAGTCCCTGCCCAGAGGGGCTCCATGCAACCAAACTAATTCCCACGGCAGCTGGCGAGAGGCCAGGACTGGGTGACCCAGAAGGTCCCATCTTATCCGGAGTTTCCGTGATTCTGCGAGTGGGAAGAAAATCCCTGAAGTGAACCCAGCACCAAATATGGTTGGGCTCAGTTCTTGGCAAACATCTGAGAGAGGCTGGTGGCGATGTTAGTACCATTCAGCTCACAGGCGGCCTGTGCCCACGTCCTGGGAGTGTTCATGCCCATTGGGGGGGATTTGGCGTCTTGTGGAAAGAGCTGTGATGAAGAGTTGGGACCTAAAGATGCTCTCCAGATGTGCCTGCATCTGTCCATTCGTTCATTTATTCATTCTTCCGATGGAGGCCCTTCTATGAGCATGACTGTGCTCTAAAGCTTGGAGAGATTAACTTGGTCCTTAACCTGGAAGAATACAAGACACCACAAAAAGTACTTATGCCCGCCCCTGTCTGCAACCCTCCTGCAATTACCCACTCAATATTTTTTGCCAGCTTTCATCTAATTCAGCGGTTCTCAACCTGTGGGTCGCGACCCCTTCGGCGGTCGAACCACCCTTTCACAGGGGTCGCCTAAGACCATCCTGCATATCAGATATTTACATTACGATTCATAACAGTAGCAACATTACAGTTATGAAGTAGCAACGAAAATAATTTTATGGTTGGGTCACAACATGAGGAACTGTATTTAAAGGGCCAGAAGGTTGAGAACCACTGATCTAATTGCTGAAATCTGGCTTTGATGGCAAACAGATTCTATATATTCTTAGGTGGAGGCACCTCAACATCTGAAGTATGTCCCTCCCTCCACCCCTGTGCAAATGGTCAGCAAACAGCCCGCACACTGACCCCAGGACTTAAGTGGCCACACGGATGACACTTTCAGCCGGACCAACTCAGGAGAACATCGGGCAGTAACTGTAATGAGACCTTCTTCTTATTTCCGGGGATGAGAAAACCGAGGCTCCGAGAGGTGACGTGCCTGTCTCTGCAAGAAGCGGTGGAGCCAGGAGTCTGCTGGGCATCAGAGCCTTGGGCGGGCTGCCAGCTCTCTGGGCCCCAGCCTCCCTGCTGCAAAGCCAGGGCCCTGCGCTGCCCGCCTCTGCAGGTTGGCGTGAGAAAGCAGGTGCTGTCAGGCTTTGAAAAGCGTGGTCCCATGTGAGAGCGAGAGGAGGCGGAACATAGTTATAAAAATAACGATGCCTGTGTTCAAAGGTATGGTTGTGATTTTTAAAATTTTATTTGAAGATCGAGAACTTCCCAGGAATGTCTGAAAAGGAAAAAATCATTCGTCTTCAATGATGTCCATTTTGAAAATAGTCGTTTTCCACCAGGAACGGTCATGATGAAATGTAAATAGGACGTATCTTTCCTGTGGAACATTTGCAAGATCAATCAAGTCATTAATCGGTATGGCATTGTAGTGATTAAGAAAAACTTTCAAATCCATGGCCCATTGAATCATTTCATGGTGAAGACCCCAGCTTTGGCATCTGACAAACCTGTTGGGTCCTAGTTCGAATATTAACAGCTGTGTGAATGGGAAAGGCCACGTGACCTCTCCGAGCCTCAGTTTCTTCATCTGCAAAATGGGATCATTCCACTCAAAGGGTAGTTCAGAGTATTAAGTGTGGAGACATATATTGAGTACCACGAATAGCCTATTACAGTAAGTGCTCAATGTATCCTAGGCTGTAACTGTCCTCACGATCACGCCCATGAGGTCCTTGGGGTCACACCCCCAGTTCCGGAGATGAGGAACATGATTCAGAGACGCTCATTTTCTTGGCTGGGTTGGCCTGGCTACTGGCTGACAAGCCAGCTCCGGCTCCAGCTCCAGTGCTCGGTCCCTGACCCCACAGCTGCTGAATAGTCAGCCGGTCGGTGCTGCTCCATATTCAAAGGCCTTTGTTTGTGGTTCATAACAGCTCCTTGTTGCTGTCCAGAGGGAGGAGTAGCCTCCAGCCTGGACTTGGACCCTGTCGCCTCTAGGACCCACCTGCCATGCTCCTGATTGGCTTTAGGAGGCCACCAGTACTAACTGGAAGTGTGACAGATCCCGGGTGTGCTAGGCAGGGAAGTGGGAGATTGAGGGAGACCGGCAGGCTTGCACTTGGTGACTGGCGGGGCTCCAGACACGTGGCTGTGTGTCATCTGCAGTGGGACAGCTGCTCCATTGTGTCTCACAGGCCCATCAGAGAGGCGAAGATTACAGCTCTGACCCGTCAGACTCCCACTCAGAGCGAGGCCTTGGCTGTACCCCCCTCCCACCA